GTCAATTGATGGCCACCAAACATAGCTGCGAGCCAGCTCCTTACTTCGCACGATGCCGGGATGGCCTTGATGCAGTTCATCGAGCACGGGCTCCTGCAGCTGGGACGGAACAACAACCCTCATGCCGTACATTAGGCACCCTTGATGAACACTTATCTGCAAGCGTCTGTCAAAGAACGGTCTGAGTTGTTGTTCTTGCACGTGCGTCGGCCAACCCATGCTTGTGTATTCAAGTACTTGACAAAGTAACGGGTCGCGCGACGTAGCCCGTGCAATCTCCTTAGAGGACACCGGCATTGACTCTAGGCGCAGTGCATAGAAGGACTCTTCGCCCTCGCAACTATCGTCTTTCCCACTTTCGAGAGGGAGCCTTGAGCAAAAATCGGCCTCTGCATTGTCACTGGATCTCTTGTACTCCAACGAGTACTTGTACGCTGACAAGGTAACAGCCCAGCGCTGCAAACGTGCTGCCGCAATAGACGGAATGCCTGGCTTTGGGCCCAAAATAGTCTGCAGCGGTTTGTGATCCGTGACGAGAGTGAAAACTGGGCCGTAGATGTATAAGTGCAACTTTTTGATCCCAAAAATAAGGGCTAGTGCCTCCTTTTCAAGTTGGCTCTACTTCTTTTCAGCTTCGGTCAGTGTGCGTGATGCATACGCCACAGGACGAATGCTTCCATCTTCAGTCACATGAGATAGAACAGCGCAAATGCTATACTGCGATGCGTCGCACGCAACTTGCAATGGCTTACTTGGGTCGTAGTGTGCCAGAATCGATGGTGTTGCTAGCGCTGTCTTGATTTCCTCGAACACTGCTTCACACGCTTTGTCCCAACACCAGCGCTGGTCTTGACGCAGCAGCCTGTAGAGCGGGCTCGCCAGGGTGGATAGTCGTCGAACAAACTTCCCGTAGTAATTTACCATACCAAGGAATGACTGGACCTGCTGCTTGCTTGAGGGTGCAGCAACCTTCAGCAGAGCCTCGATCTTCTCTGGCGTCGTGCTGACACCTGCAGCACTGATCACGTGGCCCAGATAACGCAGCTCCTTCTGGAAAAACGCGCATTTTTTCTTCTTCACACGAACCCCACGCTCTGACAACCGCTTTAGGACTGCTTCAAAATTGGCCAAATGCTCTTCCGGCGTCCTACCGGTGATGAGGACGTCATCCAAGAAGCAACTGACGCCTTTCAGATCTTTTAGCATTGTGTCCATGATTCTCTGAAAAATGGCTGGTGCCGAGGAGGCTCCGAACGGTAACCTGTTTACGGCAAACAGTCCTTTGTGTGTATTTAAAGTTAGGTACTTGCTCGACGTTTCAGTTATCACCACCTGGTGATAAGCCCGGTTTAAATCAATTGTCGAAAATTCCTGGCCTCCTGAAAGCGCTGCGAACAAGTCGTCGACTCTCGGGAGCGGATACTGGTCAGTGTCAAGGCAAAGATTCACGGTGGTCTTGTAGTCGCCGCACAACCTTATTCCATCGTCCTTCTTCACTACTGGCACAACCGGCGTCGCATAATCACTCGTTGTGACTGGTGTTATGACGCCCATGTCTTGCATCTTCTTTAGTTCAGCCTCGACAGCAGGCTGTAGGGCAAACGGCACGTTTCTTGCCTTGAGGAATTTCGGAACGTGACCTTTTTTAGCGTCAGCTCTGCCCTTTCTTCAGCAATAGTTCCCAGGTCTTTATTGAATAGATTTTGGTACTTGTCCAGAAGCGCACTAAGCTTTGTGCGTTGTTCGGAAAGCGCCAAAACATCTGACCGGGCAATGCTGTTGATCCCGAAGATCCGGTTCCAATCCAATCGGATCGCTTGTAGCCACTGCCGGCCGAGCAGAGGTGGTCGCTTTTCTCTTGTGATGTAGAGGGGAAGCTCGGTCCTCTGCTGTCCGTACTGCACGTCGACGTGAGCAACTCCGACGGGCTGAACGATGTCTCCTTTGAACGTAAGCAGCTTGAGCGTCGTCGGCATGATCTTTGTTGAAGGAGATATCTGACGAAACTGTTGCAGTGACATGACATAAACAGTTGCTCCTGTGTCCAGTGCCATTTCCAAGGCAACTTCCTGCACGTTTATTGTGAGTTTTGTTGGTTCCCTACCAGACGTGGTCATTTCCTTCATGCCAACTGTGTCTTGAACAGGAACCAGTTTCTTCATCGCCTTACGTGGCGTCCACTTCGATTTCTTTTCTTTGTCAGCATTACACACTCTTTGGACATGCCCCTTCTTGTTACACTTGAAACAGATATCCGCAATGTGCGGGCATACCGGCTTCCATGTTTCGCTGAGCCGCAGCGATAGCAGTCTCGCTGCGTCACGTTCGCCTCCGCGACGGCCTGCACCTTGTGTACGTCCGAAACTCTAGGCTCTGACGCATGTGTTTCAGCGACGTTCTTTTTTGCTGCTTCCATGGCTAGCGCTTTTTCGTGTCTTGTTGTCGTGTCTTGACGGGGCAACAGACAGAGTAGACCGGAGGACCATGGCTCGAGGTTTATTCCATGGAGCGTGTAACTAGAACGAACCTCTCGTGCTATCGAACTGACACGCCGATAAAGAAGAAGAGCGAAGGAACTAAAGCGCCGCCACTATAGGGGTATTCACACGAGGGAGAAATCCCGGGGATTTCTCCCCGACACGCGCACCCCACGACGAAAACGTCAGGCTTTGCGATGTGCAAAAGCCTCGCGTTTTCATCTCGTGATGCGCGCGTGCCGGGGAGAAATCCCCGGGATTTCTCCCTCGTGTGAATACCCCTTATAGTCCGAGTAGCGCGCGCTTGGCGGTAACTACACAACAATTAGCGGCGAGATGTTTTGGTGGCGCCCTCCTATGGTTCCCCCTTTTGACGTCATTACCTTGCAAACAACAAGTTCGATGGTGTTTGTAAATAGCATGGTGGAAGCTTGAAATCATTGAGCTCTTGAAGCAACACTGCCAACACCGTCAAAATTAAAGTTCTTTCATTCCTCATATTTCCGTCGATGATAAATCCCCTTTCCTACGTCATAGTCAGCGTTCGGCCAATCGTGGAAGGCCGACCACAGCGACGCTTTCGGTCGCGCACGGGGCTAATAAGTCCAGACGCGGCCGATGCTACGAGCTGATGGCTTTAATCAAAAAGCGTCAAAAGTGGACGTTTTGTTCGTGTTCTATCATTGCTGAAACGATCATAAAATGAAAGCTCCAGTGATTTATTATTTTGACGCTGCCCAATTGGTCCCAGTAGCTCATAGCGTCGGCGGCGTCGGGAGTTAAGCTGAAACGAGGTATGAAATTCCGCTTTCTTGGTGTTTTTCTTTGTTTTGTTTTTTTCTTACGGAATTTCTTTTTTTTTTTTTTTTTTGGAGGGGGGGGGGGGGGGTGGGAGGTGGGTCATATTTTCCCTTGGATTCGGTGTTTTTGTGTTGACTTTCGGGGTGGGACGAAAAATCGGTGTTTATCGGGGGCTGCTGAAAAATATAGAACACGGGCATTTGTTCCCCGAATTTCAGGGAGCTTAGGTGTGAGGCCAGTATTTGAAAAAATGCCTATCCCGTTTCTTCTTTTGTCAATACTAAGCCGGTGCCGACAAGAAAAGAAGTCAAGTGTGTGTGCTTCCGAAGGAAGAGCAGCCTCGCGGACAGTTCAAAGACGGCTCTGTTCCCCGCTGAAAACAAGATAATGTTCAACATGAATCTTTTATTTCCATGAATTGTGTTAGTTATTTTATCCAAGGATAGCTGAAATTCAGGGTTTATCAGTTGTCTTGAATCTAATACCCGAATGAGGAATTAATTTTTGGGGATTATTGATATCTACCAAAACATTAATCTATAATTAAAACCTACTGCGAGTTTTTTGTTTTCTTTAACGAACACTAGAAATTTGTTTTGGAAGCGTAATTATTTCACAATAACGACTCTATCACATTGTATTTCCGTTTTACTTAATCTGTGGTCAAACCTATTGTTTATATGAGCAAATAGGAATACTCCACCTAAGGAGGCTCAAAGTAAGGTGATAAACATTTTACTGCTGGTTAAGTTAAGAATAAAAATTGTCCATTCATTGCAGCGCCCTATCTCTATATATTATATTTAAGGCAGCTAAAATTCTTCGAAGAAGCTCTTTTCTATAAAACATTTCTTGATTTTGTTTTTTATCTGTAGTTCGTTTTGTGTTACATTTGAAGGCGAATTTGATCAATACGGAATGTGTAACTTCGAGCATATACAGTTATTTTACATTGAGATGAAACCGATAAGGTTTTTTGGAGCAAAGCACGCTTGATTAAAAAAATCGTTTCAATGACAAATACTTCCTTTAAACGTCATGTTGTTATAAAATTTTCTATGCACTAAAGGTACTGAAAAGATTGCCAGCCTATGTTCTAAAAGTTTTGACAAATCGCCGCACTCGCACGTTTCAAATGTATCTTTATGGAACACCCGCTATATGTGTGGACCTAAAAGTTATCGTCGTCTTTTGCTGCAATATACGTTCACTAGCTTACAGGTTAGATATACTTTATTGTTTTAACGCAATAAATTATATTTGCAGTAAATAATTAATTTTTAAATTTTTAGATAGTTAGCACAAACCAGATTTTTACTTCATTATATTTGTTCACTTTAAAACACACTGAAATCACCCAGTCTTGAAACCTCACTAACTGTTTCTGTCAGAATGATACATTTTCTCACCAAAATCATTTGCCCTTTTCACAAAATTATATAGTTCTAAAATACGATAATGCCCATGGAAACTAGCTCAGCAGGATGTCAAGGGCATCGCGAAAAAGGTGCCACTTACAACGCCAAGAACCTCAAAATCAGACTACGACTGTAAGGGCTTGAGCATCGTGACCAGAAAGAAATGGGGAGCGAGGAAACCACCTGACAAGGCACTTTTTACCATCAAGGAAGGTGTGCGCTTTGTTTTTTTCTCCACCACACCAAGGGAAGCAAGTGCTGGTTCAGATTCACGTGCGCCAGATACGCTCGCCAGTGTCAGAACATGCGCATGAACAGCAGAGGTAAGTGGCCCATCATGCACAAACGCATGACAAGCTTGCTTTTAGCACAAACAAGTGTTCCCTATGTAGTATGGCGGATGTTTTAAACTGAAACAGTCCTTCCTGGTTCTTTGGCCTACCTGCCAGTTATTTAGAGAGCTTCGAGCTTTGGTCTGACCTGCGAATGGAATGCGTGACAATGACGTCTCATTCATCGGACCACTCGACAAATTGACAGGTAACAGCAGCCTTCAGAAACCGCACACGTCGAAGAAGGCTGGATCGGGTGTTTCCGCTTATACTGACTGCGGGGGCACTTCGCTTTCTATACCCCAACAAGGGAGGCCTACATCATTATTGGAAGCGTGCGACAAGACAGTTCAGCCACGGTGCGGCTTCAAGCATGGGGATTTAGCCGCAAACTTTGGTGTCAGATCACCTGAGATAAGCGTTACACAACATGTTCGGAGCCACAGTTGGCGCCAACTCTTTTTGAACAAGACCCGGAATTTGAGAGCACGATCACCTCTATACGCAGTGGCGAAAACAGCGGCGTTCATCTCAATCCCAGTTCGTCTACTTCATTCCCTTACAAAAATATGAAACGAATTTCAATTGAAAGTCATTCAACTGAATAGAAATTCAATTGAAACTCATTGATCATTTTTGTAAGGGTTTGCATTAAAAGCGAGGAGCAATCCGATGATAAGAGGTGCGACGAATACTTCTTACGCAGGATGCATCAATTACTGTCCCTGGTAACTGTCGTCCCACAGGAATTTTCGTAGCGGCGAATATACACGCTCTTTCTAGAGGCAAACTTCAGTTCAACTAAACGAAGCACATGGCGGTGTGTTACGGCCGTTACCGCTTATAATGCGATCGAAATTTCTGCAGGTTACCCTCTGACACTTGTGAAGTATAGGACAGAAAACCGATTTCACCTGCGTGTCCTAGTTGTTCTGTAAAAAAAAGATAAATATTCGCATTTCTGGCATCTCTCAACTCACTTCCAGTCTTCAAGGTCACACCTGGTCGCACTCCTGGTGTCGTAATTCAGGGTGCCGTGTAGATTCCCGTGTGCTCTCTCGGAGGACGCTTCCTTTCCCTCTCTCTGCTGACATTAGCGGGCGTTATGCTGCAGCTTAGAGCCGACCGAGGTCACGTAAGCTTCTCGCCATAGTTCCTTCGGCTCCCACTCGCGGCTGCGGGTGGGGAAAAAGCTGGACTTTTGATTTGCAATTATGCAGCGGAATCGCCAAATTTTTTAATCAAGGAGACGTTTTCTCTTTCTTCCAGGGCACAATAAACAACGTAAAAAAGACGAGATGCAAATTATTCCACCTTAAAATCGTTTCGCCCCCCCCCCCCCCCCCCCCCTCCTCGTTTAACTATGCACACCAACACTAGAATACGAGAACACCGCAGGGGAGAGCACACGGCAAAAACGGCAGTTCGGATTGCAGAAATGAGCTCCTCGCAAACTCCGACTGGTCCCAACAGTCCCAACCTGCTTATTCTTGCCAAGCGTCTCGTTCAAGAAAGAAACATGTTTTTAAAGAATACAAGAATTAAAAATTACCTTTTTAGTGTTTGGAAACATTTTTAGCACGTGCTACGTGACTATTTTCATTCCAGTCAAAACCAAGATTACAATATAAACACTTCCAAGAGAATCGAAACGGGAAGTGGAGTCAGAAGCCGCATGGTCACTGGATCTACAGTGGCTGCGCTTGCGGTATCGCTGGTTTCCACGATGTGCTGGAACGAAGGGTGCGATCGTTATAAAGTCAGCCCTACAACACTTAAACATGCCTCCTCCTACATTATATGATGCTACGATTGTGTGTGGATACCTCCTCCTGCGTTCCGAAACAGTAAGTGCGTCGCTAACGCTGGCCATCGGGTTTGAAGCAAACGCCATTTCTTCCGGCAAGTTTAGGTGGTTTGGGGAAGTAAATAGCTAGCAAAAAGGTAGTAACGTTCAGTGAAAGATAGTAACTGCTGCATTTACAACTTTTACTACCTATCGCGTGCTTGAGGTTGTAAATTGTAAAAGGTAGTAACGCTCAGAAAAAAATAGTAACTGCTGCAGTTTCTAGGTTTTTACTAGCTTTTATTTAGGAGTATGTTATTATGCGTATGGACAATAATAACGTGCCTATTCTGACGCCCACATGCTTGACTGAACGAGCGTGGGCGTAGACAGTACTAGATCGTACATAGCACCGAGAAACTTCGTAGAGTCAAATGAGCAGATGCGCTTGCACGTTCACGGAGTGTATGCAAACTGAAGCAGAAACTTGATGAGGTATCAACGCTACAATAAACCGAGATGAAGGATTACTTTATTAGTGTCTCCAGCTGGAAGCTCGCTCTCTCGCGGCGGAACTGCACGCGATCATGGCGTGCAAACATTTTAATTCTGAATGCCAACAACGCTCTTCAGTGTCTCAGTGTGTGCTGCAGCCGGTACGGGATTGCACCTTATTAGGGAGTTTCAGTATTACATATAGAAGCAAACGCTGTGCGTCTGCGTTAGAGCTGTGTGCTAAACGCTGCGCATGCGCGTCGTTGCCAAGCTTCAGTTCAAGACCGCGATTTTGAGCTCTGCGCACGCGCAGTGTGGAACGCGCAACGCTAACGCGAACACACAGTGCTCGCGTTCGATGGCATACGCAATGCTAAAACTCACTACTGTTTCACCGGTTTCCAACGCCAACGAAACGTGCTGCAGTGAGCAGACGTGCAAACGGGTAGGCGCTCCTCTGAACTGGAAAAAGTGAGAATGGCAAAATTACGGCGCATACAAGTTAAAGGGGCTGTTCAACGACATTGGGTAGCAATATTTCTTGCTTTACACCAGCTTCCTGGCACTATAGTGGGACCCAAGAATACTCGAACGCAACACCACTGACTAAGAGGCGTCTTCGTTGCGGCGGAATTCAGAAGATGAAAGCGGAGCTTTTCTTTCAGTCTCTCCTTCCAAAGCCGCCTTTTGCTCCTTCGCGAAATTTGGCGACAGAGCTGTGGGGACAATGGCAACAGTACGATCCCCGGATATGCGTCGTCGAGCTTTGCGGTGACGATATTCAAATGCTGCTCACACAGTGGACGCGAAGACTGCGTACGCATTCGATCTTGGCTCGTGACAATCGATGCCTCGACATGCATTCGGGTAGTGACCCGTGTCCAGCCGCTGCAACGACGACAATAGCCGAGCCATAACAATGTCTGGAACTCAGCGCGTGTTCTGTGCTTTGCCAACCCTGCAGCGTGGGGATATATGATCAACATTGGCGGCATATAATCCGCTCCAGATAACGTGGCCGCTTGTTCTGGCTGTGAGTTGAGGGGGTGAACCGGTGCTCGTTTTTCTTAAATTTTTTAGGGGCGAAGCTCCTTAAGGGGTATCCACACGAAGGAGAACTCCGCGGACGGATGTCGTGACGTCAACATCCCGGGAAACTCCGTCCCCGGCTCCGCCGCGTGCACCTGCGGAGCTTTCGTGCTGACAGCACGTAGCCCCCGCGCCTCCGCCACGGAGGAGAACGGCGGCGCGAGGACAGCGAGGCGTCAAAAAGGGATGACGTATGTCTCACGTGATGCGCGATCCGCGGAGGAAAGTGGCGGATTTCTCCTTCGTGTGGATACCGGGGTATCCACACGAAGGAGAAATCCGCCACTTTCCTCCGCGGATCGCGCATCACGTGAGACATACGTCATCCCTTTTTGACGCCTCGCGGCACGTTCTCCTCCCTGGCGGAGGCGCGGAGGCTTTGTGCCGACAGCACGAAAACTCCGCAGGTGCACGCGGCGGAGCCGGGGACGGAGTTTCCCGGGTTGTTGACGTCACGACATCCGTCCGCGGAGTTCTCCTTCGTGTGGATACCCCTTTAGGGGCTAGCCATGTCCGCATGTCCGTCCGATGTCCGGCGTCGGGTGCTCGTGCTCACGAGCACGTGAGCACGTGCTCCCGTGCTCGTGCAGGGCAAAAAAAAAAAACGCATCTGCACGTGGTGAATGATGTTGATTGGGGCGAAGCTCTGGTGGTGCTTGTCTGCGTAGATGGTGCGCCGCATCATGCCGAGCCTTTCGTTCGTTTTCATCCATGTCGAAAAGAGAATGTGTGGTATGGAGCGTGGTTCTATACGCATTTGAGCATTTGACCGCAGCATGACATGGATGAAAACGAACGAAAGGCTCGGAATGCTGCGGCTCAGCGTCTACGCAGACAAGCACCATCAGAGCTTCGCCCCAATCAACATCATTCACCACGTGGAGATGCGTTTTTCTTTTTTTTCTGGAACTTCTATTGCCTGGGGTGAAAAACAACGCGTGTTTCATAGGTCATTAACGTCAGGGATTCGTTTTAAGCGGTATTTGCGCAAAGTACAAAAATTGTTGCATCGCCCCTTTAAACAAACTAAATGTTCTGGAAAGATTGGTAATAAACAAATAAGGTATACCTACTTTTTTCTTTTTTTTTTTGTTCCGGAGGAGTTGGCGGCGACTTTGGAAGTTTTTTGGGGATTGTAAAATGTCGCGACTTTGATAGCACGTTATGCTTTCCTAACAAATAACTTAATATTACATTGATTTTTCTCATTAGTTAGACTGTTTTCATTGCTTTTTAGCTATTTTTATTTTATAACTTGTTAATCAAAAATGCTGCGATTTTCACCAGCGATGTTAGTTTACACACTTTTAAATGCTATACTTGTTCGCACACATAAAATATGATTATAAGGAACAAATTATATTAGAGCTTGATAAACTACGCATTCAAATATCTTAATTGTATTATTATTATTATTTTACTAATACAAACGACCGAAATGTAGGCCGCCCATGGGCGCAACATCACAAAAGTATGCCATTTAAACATAATAGTCTTTCCAGAAAGGTCTCATTTTGTTTTCATTTTAGTATATTAAAACTCTGACATCTTTATGAAGCTAGACTGTCAAACGCTAGATCTAATACTATTATAGAGTCCTATGCGTCACGCGTTGCTTTAAAAAAAAAAAAACACACGCTTCTGCTCACTGACTCGAATTCTGTCTTCGGGTTTTTGTAGTGAGAACAGCGTTTCTTAATTTGCACGTTTCGAAAACATGCTCTTCAATCATCACCCATGACGATGTCTTGCAAAACTTGAATTGATTCAGTTATTGTTGTGTTGTGAATAATGCTAAAGCCATTAATTATCTAAATACCCGAAACACATTAGAACACCCGCGGTTCGTTATTTCACACGACAATTATCTGAGCCAGAAAGGGCAGCAAGAGCACATAAATATCAGCACTGATTTTTCCAACAAGTACAACTCTATGTCACCTAGAAGGTGTAATAGAGATTCTGCCTTTAAAGTGACACTCTCTTTCCAAAAATATTTTGAAGGGCCTGGATCGGACACGTATGTCACATAACAAACTTTCCGCGAATAACCCTTTTAGCTCCATAATTACGCTTTGAGACATATCTTGATGTATGAAAGAATCCGAAGTCAACACATACACCAAGAAATTAAAGTCAAAATAGAGGTTAGTTTCTGTTTCGTTCTAGAATGAAAACGTGCCTCCTGGCGTAATTATTACGCTAAACACCGTTTTTGTTTTCAGGATAAAGAGGTGACCTGCGCTCATAATACCCTATAGCGTTCTCGAATAAGCATGAATAATTTGTGTCACTCAGTGGAGCCAGCACACTAGACAGGCTCAGCCACTGGTTAACCGGCACACATCTTTGACCGTCACTATAACCGTGATTTTGGAAAACAAGTGGTGTCACCTTTAGTGAATCGGAGTGGCCAATAGGCTTCTTTCACCTGACGTAACTTCCGGCCAGCCTAAAAATCGAAACAAATATTTCCGTTTGCCTCTTTGCCCATGTTGAGACTGGGACTTCGCGCCATGTTGAGGGCATTCGGCGTCTTATTGCGGCACCAGTAGTGCCATAGATCAACAGACGCGTCTTCGTATAACCAGATTTCAGAATATTTGCGAATATTTTATTGTCCTACACAATCGGCAAGAGGTTCCTCTCCTGGACACGATGTGCAGTCCACATACCCTAAGATGGTACGAACCTTTTTCAGTTAACACGATATTAACTGGCCGGTCATTCTCCTCCGATATGGTCATGGGAAAAATCAGAACCTGATATATTTCGCCCGACAATTTATATAATTTATTTGTTCGCTATTGTTTTTTTTACTTGACATATAGTGATGGATCTTAAAATGTGAGACACTCATGTCGCCGGCGAACCGATTGATCGAGCGTCGCCTTGACCTGATTGCCAATAAAATGCCGAAATTAAAAAAGAAACACTACTGCTGGCCCTAGATTCATTTTGTCGCCGACTTTCATGGCTGGAACAATTCATTACTGCGCAACTGACCATTTTACACCTCGTGTGAGCGAACAAACTGCAGCGCGAACACGACCCCAACCCTCATCAAACGTAGCATAACAGCGAAGAATGCCTCCAACAGGGATTCTGTCGACTTCCGGTGATATTTCCGAACCTGAAATAGCGTTCGATTATGGTCTCGTGCAAGAGCCCTATGCTTGAAAATAGAGTCACTTAATAAGCTAGGCCACTGAAGTATCGGCACTGCATTTTCTGACTTACTTGTGAGTGCCTCCAACTTAGTGCGTAGTACACCTGGCAATCGTTGCAATTTCAAAACGCGACTTTCTGACCTTTACATACGTTGTCAGGAAACTCTTTGTCACAAGCTGTTTTAATAGTTCTGGGGGTCACAAAAGCTTATCATGCAATTTCATTTCAAGCTGGAGACCGCTGGCAACTCTGTTTTTATAATCGCCAAAGTTGCTGACTTTTTTTTTTTTGAGCTTGAGGTTCACTTGATTCTCTAATGCAGGCTGGGATGATATAGGTTACAGTTTCCTAATCGGAGGAGATGGTATGTGTGCCGGGGTTGGAATGGCAAAGGAGCTAATACAAGGGGCTACAACCACAGGGCCCTAGGCATTTCGTTCATCGGTGACTCCACGTTGATTGCCCCGGATGAAGACATGTTGAAGGCTGCAAGAAAGCTGATATTGAGTGTGGCATACGACTGGTAATGACGTAATTTGTGTTTTGTAGGCGGAAGTGGTTATAATGTTTCTAACGTGAGGAAAGAACGTAAAGGTGATACTGAGCGAATAGTACGCCAAATCATACAGGAGGCGTAGCTTTATTAAAGGTACTCGCTAATTGCTGACTTCTTGCTTTTGAGACGTGTTGTCCTGCAATTTGCTGCAGCTACATCCATCGAAGGAAAATAACTAAAGTAAATATAATCCAGAACAAAACAAAGCAGCATATACCACTATTTTTTTTTAGAAAATATAACGACTAGGTATTTATACGAAGTTATTTGCTGTTCAAACAAAAATACATTCGTGCAATGAATTAACGGTAACGGTACCGTAACGTAGAAGGTGCAAGAAACAACAAATAACACTTCTTCAAGTTCCAGGATTAATAACCGAGCACCTTGTCATATTTTAATTCTGCTAAATAATCTAGGAAATGTTGAGCTGAATATGTATGTGATTGATTGAAGCAAGTAACTTACCCAGTAATAAATAGTATTCTTACTTTTAATAATTCAGTACGCTTTATAACATGCCTGTCTACATTTTTCCGACAAATCTCAGAAGTTTATTCAGTCTTACTAGAAAAAAAGTCCATATTTCATTTTTAATTATTTACTGTAACAAAAGAAACAGCCTGCCTGAAAAAAAAAATCATCACAGCAGTAGGGTAAAGGGTACAATTAGATTATTACACCGAAAACCAAAAGTGTACAAATATAAAGATACAAAGAGTTCATGAGCAGGAAGAAAATACAAAAACACAAGTTTTTGTAACCGCTACGATTACCTGTATGTTCACAATGCATTGATAAATTCAGCAAACGTTTCTTTTTCAGTTAACACCATATTAACTGGCCGGTCATTCCCCTTCGATATGGTCCTGGGAAAAATGAGAACCTGATAAATTTCGCCCGACAACTTATATAATTTATTTGTTCGTTATTTTCTTTTTTTTTTTACTTCACACATAGTGATGCACCTTAAAATGTGAGGATTGGTTAATTGACGCTAAATATTTGTATAAACAACTCATAACTTCAAGTCTTTTATCAAGCGATTATATACCGGTACAAACGATATCAATCATCTTCTACGAGATATAGTGGCCATGTTAGTTTATTTGTCAACAACCTATTAAATAACATTTCCATTTTCTAGTAAATTGTTTGCTATTTTGAATAATATACTGAATATATTTTAGCACTTTCCTAAGGTGTTTGAGAAGGTGTAGGCATCTGAGAAAATATTTTCTATTGTTCATGCAGAAATTAGTTTCGAATTAATTTTCAAAGGACGCTCTGTGGTTTATAGTAATGTTGATTGAAGGTTCAGTCACAATGTTTATAAACAGTTTATTCTAGCACTCGGATATCACAATAAACTGTTTAGCTCACCCTAAAACAATCGCTTCTTATCACTAAAACATAACTTGGTTTATTAATGAACTTTGTTCAGTATACTGGATGCCAAACCTCTTAAGAAGCTTATCCGGAGTAATTCTAGAGAGCAATTTGTACCATTGTTAACTGCAACAACAAACATAACTTCACACATTAAAAAGAGCAACCACCATAACACCATCGAGAAGTGCATTCTGGTGATCCCCTGAGTCTGATTCTTGATGTAGAATCGCCGACGGATATAAATTTCAATTCATTCAAGAGTGTGCTTTTATATTTACATGGAAAGCTGCGTCATACTAAAGTAAAATTTAGAAAATCCTTCGTTTGCGGTTAATCATAGTGTAGTCAATATATAATATATAATTATGTAAACGCATTAGGTATAAACATAGTGCCCAGAAATATAGAGGGAAAACGAAAATTTGCGCTCTTCTCTTTGCTTTTTTATCAGTTATAGTTCGATGAATTTAAGGATATTATATACATATATTTAACTATACTTCCGGAAAGCAATATGACTGCTCTTAAGAAAATGATTACTCAATTACATAAATAAAATATGCCGTTTGTTGCTCTAATTTAAAGTAATTCGCAGGAACACAATACATATCGAATAGTAACGTTTTTATGGCTACTTCATGTTTATGTTTACCGATGTCCATCAACAGCAACGTGCCTTCGCGGTGGTGCATCACAACACAGACAAAGTAAAAACACACACAAATGAAAGAGTAACACTATACAGAAAAATACTGGACAAAGTAAAACTTCCAGATATCCTAAAACAGCTCTAACTTCAATAAGAATTTCTTTTTTAATTTAAAGACATAAACATGTCAACTGAAGTAGGGCTAAGTCGGGAAGTATTTTTCGACTCTCTAAGTTAACGCGATACCGTTTCATTGAGCTATTACCAGCACAACAGATTTCTAAAAAATAAAGAGCGACTGCAACGTTTATTTTGCTAACTTCAGGAAAGAAGGTTCTGTTAACATAAGGCACCTCCTGAACTTGATTTTTTTTTCTAGCAAGCAATGAGAAAAAAGTACACATTTATTAAAATCATGCTCCAGCACACAAACACCCTGCTCAGCAAACGATCAAAAGCTGTAACATATATTACATTGTGCATTACAGGGGAAAATCAAACAAGGATTACAGCCTCCATGGCCATCGAGATGCTAACTGTACGGCCTGCCCCGGAGATGGTTTTTACAGGTTTCTGCGAACAATGCCGGGCATTTGAAAGGGAAACAAGCATTTTGTATGTTGACATTATGAACGTAATGGCTAAATAAAGCAAAATAACAAGAACGACACTTCTACATCCAAGGATCTCATCTGTTGCCCATGTGTTTGTCTTAATTTATTTAGGTGTTTATTTCATTTGACATGTAACTTTGAGAGGGTAATGTTGCAGGATAGTGATAAGGGTATAAATGTACCGCCGCGGTCAGGATGAGATGAAACACCTGGTTTGGACTTTTTCTACGTCTACAGCCATCAAACGCTCTATTATCACTCAATTATTCAAGTAGGACAAAGTTTGGAGACTTAACTTTGCATTCCATTCCAAGTTCGGGCCACGGCCCTCTAAAAAAAACTAGCAGGTTCACCAAAGCACGAAAAACTCTTAGCTTAGATTGTCCGTGATCACACACAAATACGGATATAAATATACAAAAAGCTCTACACTGAAAGGTGGACGTGGATACGCACGGGAATCTACGACCATTAGTAAAGTTTTGTTATCAAGACAGAGACCATAACATAGAAAATAAGTAAATAACAATTTTGCCTCACAAATATTGAAAAAAAGGTAATTGAGCTCTGAAACAATATTACTTGCTAGCCAATTCCAGTGTTCAACCGATCTTAGAAAATAGGAGTATTCAAAATCATCAATTCTACAAATGAATTTTCGAATTTCGAGAGCTTGATCCGACCTTTGTGGAATAAAATGTTGCGGATACAAATACCTACATTTGTCCAGTCTTGTTTTGTTTAAATGTATGTTATGTATTTATTTTGCAGCGAGGGCACTTTGCACGAAAATGGCTTGAACTAAATTGCAGCTTTGATGGACCTGTTGCTTTCATCATGTGCATACCTTCCAAACACAAATCTCGCAGCTTTGTCTTGTCCGCTGGCTAATTTATCAATAAGCGCATTATTTATCGGTATACTTTTTATCAGAAAGATATATATATATATATATATATATATATATATATATATATATATATATATATATATATATATATATATATATGCAAAATAAAGATCTCAAAATTCCAGACATTTTTAAGGATTCGTCGGGCATTTCAGCAATAAAACATATCTGACACTGGGAGGATCGACACCACTTAAGATATATTTTCAAAGCTCCTGATTGGCCAACGAGGTAGAGGGGCTTAGAGCGATAAACCGGGGTTCCGGTCTGCACTCGAAAGTGACCCCCATAAGGTGGCTGCCATTGTACGCAAATTTGACCACACGTCACATGACCAAACCAAATACGTGACGTCACAGGAAAGATGGCAGCGCCCATGCAGCGGCTGGCCCCAGCTGGGCCGGAGCTTGTCGGATGCTTTGTTGGTTGTCGTTCGTCTCGGCGAGTTGATTTCAGACGCGGAAGCCGTCATATGAGGCCGGTCGAAAGCGAGTTCAAAGTTCAGCGTGGTGTTTGACGTAGGTATAACGTGAAAATACGGAGAAACGGTGTGCATTTCGCTGGTGACCGACCGGGATATTGCCACGGAAGAGACAATCTGACCTCGGATTGATTCGGATACCGCTAGGATAAAATTTAAGGCGACGTTTCTGTGCTCTCGTTGACCATCAGAATCTTCGAGGTTTGCAGTGAAGCGTGTGCAATATATTTGGATACACAGTTTAGCGACGGAAATTGCGTGAGTCGTGCCTGGCGGTGTGCAATCGCGGTGCAGCTTCGATCAAATGACCGAGGGCTCACTTCGGTTGTGCGGCGCACCGGAAGGCTGCCTTGAAGCTGGTAGTTCTCGTGCCGTGCTGAATGATGCTGTGCTGCTTACAAATTGTTCCGGCGTAGAAGTGCACTTTCACGGAGCACAGGTGTGCGGCGCACCGAAGAGCTGCCTTCAAGCTGGTAGTTCCTGTGCCATGCTTTAGGTGATGCTGTGCTGCTTCCGAAATTGTTCCGACGTAGACGTGCACTTTCACGGAGCACAGGTGTTGCAGTTGGTATTGATACCGCTGATCAGTCGCACGTTTCGTCAACACAAACGTTTCATCCACACTCGTTACGCGAATTGCAAGCTGTCCGGACATTTCACGGAGCGTGTTACGTACCCAGCTCACGCCGCTTTGTAGCAACAGTCTGCAGTGGCTCATTACCAGAAAAGTGGTCCCACATCCATTTCAGTTCAGTTCGTCCACGGCAGTCGCCAAACCCCGAAGGAGAGGATTTATTCGGACAGAATGCCACTAAAGCAATGCAGCTTCTTCAGTGGTCAGGATAGATTCTCTTCTGCTAGTTTTGTTATACTGTCACGGATCCTTGTTCCAGTCCTATCTTCTATCAATATTCACTATTCTGGGACACTGCAGCTCATGCTCAGCTGTAATCGTATGTTCAGGTGGAGGTGCTGGGCACTTTACCCGTAGCCCTTCACTCTGTGTGAACCCGGCGGCTCTTCAGCCGAGTTACCCGATAATGGGACACGGCTGGCGGACTATTCTGCGTCTTATACCCCTGTCGAGCTGTAGGCAAAGTCCTGACCCGAGCCTGGCAGAACAACCGCAAGACGACCGAGTACCACAAGGAGTAACCTCGGAAATACACCACGAAGCACCTGAAATCCGAGCCAGTTGCTGCTACCAGGAAAAACCACCGGAATTCGGTCTCCTGTCAGAAAATCCGAACCTGAGTAAGCGAACAATGACAAACCTGTAGCAGCAAACCGTGTCCCCTCCCACCATTGTTTGCATGCCCGTCGCAAATCACACTCCGACGCTTTTTCACGCAAGCTGTATGAAGACGTCAAGGACTGGATTGAACAATATGACAGTGTCGCCCGCCACATTGGGTGGACAGACAACCAGCTCCTGCAGAACCTATACTTCTCATAGAAGCAACTGCCGGCGCTGGTCTGAGAACCATGGATCCTCCTTAACGTCATGGGAAGTTTGCAAGATCAAGCTGAAGCGCGCATCCGTCAGCCAACATCAACGAAAGAGAGCCGCATTCTTGATTTTGCCCAGGACACTGCCCCAATGAGAGCGCCACCGAACTCGTGGAGGATGTTTCGCGCTTGATCGAGCGCCCACGCCCACGCCGACCTTGATGCTACAGAAGACAAGAACCTAAGAATCCCATGCGCCTCAGGTGAGGGACAACACCTTCGGCAGCCTTGTCCGCAACCCCCCAACAACAGTCGAAGTGTTCATATCACTGAGGCTTCCAACATGGAATGTGCACTGCATGCCCGAGCCTGCCACTATGAACAACTTCCCGGCGTCTCGACACTCGAGTTGTCCAGCTACTACTTCGACGCCAGCCTCCCAGGCATCCACGACATCACCCACGACGTTGTCTGGGAGGAGATCAGGAAGCTACTTCCTGCCATCAGTTGCCCGGCTTTTATTTTGATTTCCGAGATTGTTTCGGAACAAGTTTGACAGGTATTTCAACCGAGACTTCTGCGAGCGAAGCGGCATCTGACAAACCAAGGGCAACTTACGCCACAATGGCACGACGACCGCTACCGGCTGCCCCTTAGTATTCAATGCCAATTCAATGAGACACTCTAACGCCGAAGCATTCCCGACATCGTGTGTAGGACTGCGCTCAACAAAGTACACCGAGGAAAACGTAGGTGATGCGAATGTGCGACCGAAAGCCACTTTGCTACCACTGCATGAAGCCGACCATATCTACCAAAGCAGCCCGTACCAATTAATTGGTCGGCGAGGGTTCGTGCCAAACGACCTTCGATTACATCTCGAGGAGCGACCACGGGAGATTAAGGATTACCTTCGGCGACCTTTGTCCCTGATGCCGAGGGTGCTGAATCGAAGATTCTGAATCCCTGATTACCCCAAAGCTCCTCATGTCCATCACATCAACAAGAGGTAAGCACGACAAAGCAGGTGAGCGGCGATGCAGTGACAGTGGATTTGGTGTCAATTGTCGTCCAAGAACAATACCTAAAAATTTGCTGACACCAATTTTCTGTGTCCACTCCACGAAGCACACAATTTCCAACTTTGAGGGAGAATGCCCCTGAGTGACTTGAAGGAATAGAATGGTTGGTTGCTCTCAAAAGTGAACTGCAAGCATCACCAGACTTGGATAGCAAACAAAAAATGGTTGCCAGCTTTCAAGTCAACGGTGCAGCAAAAGGCACAGTCACGTAAGCAATACATGCCCGAGCTTGCTACATTGATGCCGAAAACTACCAGGAAAATTTTCGGATTAGAAGCAAGCCCTGCAGCTTCAGTGCACATGACGTATGATTACAAGACAGCATCAGTCGGTCAAAGTTGCCACTCGACCAAACTGAACACCGACGTGCCAGGAGCGTCATCTGACAACAAGGTCCACAGGTACTACGACTGAACGCCTGACACGAGACTGTTGCAGAAAGAACTCGTTATGGAACCATTTACTAAGAATCAATAATTATGTAATCAAGTGGAAATAAACATATTTGATACACTAACCAGATAAACATATTTCCGCTTGCCTTCATGCCTTGAGAGTCTACACACCGAGAATTGTGTCCTTTGCACGCTCTGGACCTTACGAGGACACTCGCTTCTCTGACCCTTCAATATTAATTAAGGGGTCATACCAGACTGGCAGACTTCTTGCAAGGGGCTGCACTCGTTCAACCTTTCCTGAACATGTGGTGCACCCAAAAACCAACTCCAGTAATGTGAAAATGTTATTTATTAATTTATTCCTTCCAGGGGCCTTCATAGGCATTGCAGAGAGAATACTTAAAGCTACACACATGATAATAGCATTAAAGCACACTGCTGTAACTTGTTAATTGGAAAAACAAACACACCTCTGAGCATACAGTTTAATAGCATGTGTTGATGCATTGTTATATAGCATGATACTTCCTATATGTATGACACAATAGACCCTTTGCAGAACCTTATCAAGCAACACAACCGTCACCATTTTTTTCGGCGCTAAGCACACGAATGGACCCCAGTTCACGTCGAACGCCAATGCAGCATTCGAGTCCAACAGGT